CCCAGGCCAGAGAGTACCTGGAATCTACCAGGAGGAATGGGTCATGGCAAGGACCATTCTCAGGGTACCCCTCCCCGTTCCATCCCTGAGCAGGCCAACTCATAAATAAAAACAAAGGAAATGCTTTGCTCTGCCATGACAGGCCTTCCTTCCCTGGCCTCTGACCTGTCAGAGAGGCCCTTTCCTCCAGCTCAGGGGCTTTTTATCTCTCAGCTGTCCGCACAGCCATCACTTCACCAGACTGCAGACAGAGGTTGGTTCTAACACATCAGTAGATGAGCTGGCTAGAAGCAGCCCAGCCCAGCCCAGCCCAGGGGATGAGGTGAGGAGGGGCCCAACACTTCCTGGGCCTGTTCTGCTGAGCTCGCAGCCCATCTCTGACTCACCACTCAGTCACAGGGTGCTTATCTGACTTCAGGTGTGTTCCAAATCAAGTGCACATGTCTGGCCTGACATCAGCAAACTACATACCGGCTAGCTTCCCCTGTCACTCCACACGGGGCGCCCAGAGCCACGGCAGCCCCTCCCAGGTCATTTACTGCCACTCAGGAAGAGAAGGGACCGGCCGGCCAGCGGCCCGGCCAAGCCAAGGCTCGCCACATAAAATGCAAGGATCCCCAGCAGGGGCAGCCAAAGACCCTGTTTCCCCACTGGTTAATCTGCCTCTTCTTTGCCCAAAAACTCCTGACCTAACCAGAAAAAAACCCCTGCGGGAGACTCCTGTTGGAAATTCCCAAATGACAGGTCGGCCCTTAATCCAGTGCCTTTGAACAAGTCAGTTCCCCATCCCGCTCTGTAAGATGAGGCGTTGGGGGAAGGGCTGAGACAATAGATCGTGAGTGAGACCACCCATCTGTTTTCACCTCCTCATTTTGTAGGGGACATCTCGGTGAGCCAGCCAGGGACAGTCACTCACCCAAGGTCACACATCTATACGTAGCTGGGCCAAGAGTCAAACCCAAGCCCGTCAGTTCCTAACAATCTTTCTGGACTCAATTATCTCCAGCTTTCTGTCCAGCTCTATGACCTATGACCTATGACCTCCAGAAGGTTCTACTCTACCAGTACCTGTTTTCAAAGGCTTACCACGGCTTTATCTAAAAGAATTCCCTTTGATTATTAACCACGATCCATTCAGCACCTCCCCCCAAAGCCCAGATCTTGGTCCAAGGCACAGACCTCAGAGCTGGAAAGTGCCTCAGAGCTCCTCTAAACCAACCCTTCATTTGACAAAAAGTAAGTAGTAGAAGTAAGATTTGAATACAGGTCCTCCAACTCCAAATCCAAGGAGCTGGATATGCCACCTAGTCTGGCCCTTCCATTTTACAGACGAAAAAACTGAGGCCTTGGGGAGTCAAGGGACTTGTCCAAGGTCACACACACAGACATGAAGCATCAGAGGCAGCATCCGAACCCAGGTCCTCCAAGTCCACACCTCGAACAAGGGACCCTGATCGGGCTCTGGACACCAGGTTTCTCTTAAAAAATCCATTGCTAAAGTCTGTGAAATCCCCAGCAGAGGTAAAAGAAAGAGAGCCCTTTCAAACCCTGAGCACCACAGCTTAAACCACTGAGTGAGTAGGGGCTGTTTGAAATGTCAGGGGAACAGAGATAATTTACAGGCCGCATGATCCCTACCTTGAGACAAAGAACAGGCCAAAAATTTGGGAGCTGTGAAGGAGAAGGGAGGGCCCCACTCCTCTCTAGGCCCTCTCTGATCCCCACTACAGCCATCCTACCCCCCTGAGAAATGTTCCCCACCCCTGCCCTAAGCTTTCTTCTCATACTGTCTAGAAACAGAGGGGTGGGAGGGTAAATTCAGATAAGAAGGAACCCGAGGCCTGCCACCAACCTGGGCCTGGGAAGTTCAACCAAGCCCCCCATCTTGGACCCTCCCTATGGACAATCCACGAAGAAGTGGTTTGAGCAGCCTCTGACCCATCAGCTGGGGCCAATCAGATAAATCCTCTTCTCCTTACTCACCGCACCCAGGTGATTACTCCCTCCCCTGTTAGGGCCAAGGCACCCCAAGAATCTGGGGAGCCCCCAGGACCCAACTGCCAGCAGCTTGGAATCTGGCCAGCAGGTCAGGAAAGCAGATCAGTTGGAGGCCTGTGTTCCTGGGGCTCAGCTCTGCCTGCTCCAGATGGACTGTGTCTGGCTGCAGACAGCCCTCTACTACAAGAAGCAGGGAAAGAGCCACACGCATACCAAAAAGCCCACCCCAGCATTGCCCTCTGAGTCTGTGACCCAGTGCAGCGAGGAAGCATTTAGTCTTCCTGAGACTAGGCAAATAAAGTAAGTAGTCCACCCTTCACAGGGTGGTTTCTCTCTTTAGGCCAGGCCCTGGCCTCCTGGCTGCTCCATTCCACCCAGAACTCCCCTGGAAAGACCGGTGGGACTTCTGTGGGATTGGCCTGTCCCAGACTCAGAGCCCCTGGACGAAGGCCAGTAACATTGGCGGCCAGAGTCTGGGCGAGCTGAGGTGACCGCAATAACAGAGAGAGATAGATGCCCCTAGAAGACTCTAACTGAGTCTCCGGAGGTGAGAGGGTAGGGATTAGAAGAGGCCTCGACTTGCAAGGGGAGGGAACAAGGGATGGCACTGCCAGCACTTAGTACAGTCTTGGCACACAGTAGGCAATTAAGAAGTGGTTGTTGATTGGCTGGGGCAGAGAATCCAAGTTTGAGGTCTCTGGCTTCCTCCAAAGGACAATTCACCACGACCCTTTCTTTCATCTGACCCTTTCTTGCTCCTCTCAATCAATCAGCAAGCATTTATTAAGCACCTACTGTGTGCCGGGGCCAATGTTAGGTCTTGGGAAGAGGGCGTCAAGTCCTTCATATAGAGACATCCAGGCCCTCTGCCCTAGACTGGGTGGTGGTGATGGTCCCTGTAAACAAACTGTTGGGCAGGAAGGTAGGCCAGCCAGGGGACCAGGCTACCAACAGTTCAAAGTTCAGTTCTTCCACCAGGAAGTTTATCCACAAGAACTCCCACACCACTCCTGGCACCAATGCCCCACCAAACCTTCTTCTCTCAATCCCACAGCCTCTACCTATGGATGAGGCATTCTTCCTCTCCATCCTGGCGTGGCTCCTTCCACCCAACGTGAAGACGTCAATAGACGGGCAAACCTCCACCCAGTGCTATATTTAACTAGTAATGACCTGAAAGGGAGGCCATTTCCTGGAAAGCCTGAGATTGGGAACAAAGGAGCCAGAGGGGAAGCTCTGGAGGCAAACACCATGAAGGAAGCTTTGACCAGTGGAGGAGTCGGCCAAGGGCTGGCCGGAAGCCCCAGGCTCCCTACAAGTGCCAGCATTGGCATTTGCAACATCCCCAAATAGGAACTGGCGCCCAAACTGACAAAAATGGTGGCAGCAGTGGGATAAGACCCTGATATGGCAATAGGTCTGTTCACTGATGAGCTCAGAGGAAAAAGTGGACCTACAGGGTCTGAGTTCAAGTGTGCTGTGTGACCTTGGACAAGTCACTTAAACTCTCTGGGTTTCAGTCTCATTGGTAAATTAATTGGTAGGAGAGGTCTCTTTCAGCTCAAAAACTATAATATAATGTGATCCTGCCTCAAGGAAGGGACCAATTCTCATCCCTCAGAGAATGGGTTAGGAAAGGGGCCCTGGCCAGAAGGGACCCCACACAAAGCACCAGACATGCCTAGAGCCAAGGGATGGATCCTGTCAGGGTTCTGGGACAGCTCAGCTGGCCAGCAAAATCAAACCACTGACCATCATCAGCCCCAGTGCACTCTCTTCTTTGGGCTCCTGCCTTTCTTAAAAAATTTGTAGAGAGCACATGTCTCTGGGAGATCTATGTGCCCATCTGTGCCCAACCCCTTCTTCCCAACCCACTACGACAAAGCCAACCGTGTGTATGCTGCATGCCCTTCTGCCCAAGACTGTGACCACTCCTTGCCTAGCTTAGTATGGCAAGGAACCACCCCCAGGGAACCCCGGGAGGGGCAGATAACCCCCACGCCTGTCACCCAACCAACTGGCATGACAGGTTAGTGGGGTGGGGACAGGCCAGGCCTGTCTCTCACCCCTGCCCCAGGCTAGCCTGCTTCCCTTTCTCTCTTCCCCTCCTCCCTACCCTCTTTGAAAAGGTAAATAGGGAAACAAGCTGAGGATCCAGAATCCCCCAAGGCCCAAGGATTCCCCCAGCCATCTTTGCCTCTAGTCGGAGGAGGAGGAGGAAGAAGAGGGGCAGCGGGCATCAGGGAACCAGGGTCGCCTTTACTCCATTGTTTTGCCAGCTGTCTGGCAGCTGCTCCAGGGGGGAGGGCTGCGCTGTTTTGGCAGTGAAAGGGTGAGGGCCGAGGGAGAGGATAATGGACTCCAATCTCATTTGCTTTTCCCCCTCCCCTTAAGGCTGTCAGGAAAGCCTGGGCCTAAGGCAGTTCAGCCCCCTACTCCCAAGTCCCATGTCCCCCCTCCCCCCATCCCGACTCACTAGGGGCCAGTGAGGGGAGGGGGCAGCCCCACCGCCACCCCACTCCCACGCACGGAACATCCATCCAGTACAATGCATGCCCCCAGAGCTCCCTCCGGAATAAAGGGCACCCCCGAAGGAGGAAGAAGGGGGCTGGGCGCCCCGGCCCTAACCGTCCCTGGCCGCCTGCCCCTAGCCGCTGCAGGACAGCGCCTGCCTCCCCCCTGCACTCTCCGGGTCCGAAGGCGTCCGCAGCCCCGTCCATGCCCCGGCCCGGCGCCAGGGGCCCGGAGAAGAACGCGCCGGCGTCTTCTCGTGCACCCCCAGCGCCAAAGCAGGGCAGGGGGAGAAGCCGGAGCCCGGAGGGCCGCGGCGGCTTCCCGGGAGGAGGAGGAGGAGGAGGAGAGGAGGAGGAGGAGAGGAAGGAGGGGAAGAAGGAGGAGGAGGAGGAGAAGGAGGAGGAGCCCGCCCCGCCACCCGGCCACCCCCGGCTCCGATTCTCAGGCTCTCCGGCTCCCTTCCCGCCCCGGGCCCGACCCGCACTCAC